CAACTCCCCCAATTCATCACATTTATGTAATGCTTCTCTCACCTCCCTCTTCTGTATTTGTCCTCAAATCATCATATTTATTACCCAATTCGTCCCGCACTTCCTTTTTTTTCTTCTTCCGTTCATATCCCTCAGTTCACCATATCCGTGTCCCAATTCCTCTTGCGCTTCCCCTTTCCTCTTCTCCTCTACTACTACCCCCGTCCAATCATCCTATCTACTCCCTAATCCCTCTCTCGCCTCCCAATCTCCTCCTCCAGCATGGACCCGAATCCCCTCGTGCGACACACTTTCATGACGACGACCATTTTGGGGATCTTCATGTCCATCAGCATGCAGGGGACGTCCCAGGCCCAGTACCAGCGATGGGCGTCCGTCGAGAACATCAGACAAGTCTACCTGTGAGGCTATGTAAAGGAGAAGAAAAAATAGCGCACTGAGATTTAGAAATAAGTTGTGACGTGGAAGGTTTATAGAGTCAGTGTGCTCTCTGTGCTTATCGTTAGTTTTTTTTGGGGGGGATCTCGATGGTCGAGAGTTGGGGGAAAATGTATGTATTCGTGAATTACAAGTTTCACGAGAATCCACTTTATAATAGGGATTTATGTTTATAATAGGGATTTATGATTATCACTTCTCTGATCCAACAAAGCCTAATAGTAGCAAGGGCAATTTTCCAGTAGCATATAAAGCACATCCTTCTTCCCTTAGAGTGATGGCTATCAACATCGCTGGCTTGGTGGTCCTTTGGTCTCTCATAAATTTCGCTGGTCTGGTGGTCTTCGCTGTCTACGCTGACTGTGACCCTTATTCAGCAGGGTTGATTCAGAAGATAGACCAGGTAAGGTCACGACGATAACCTTATCTCCTGAGTGGCTTTGTCGCATGTAGTATGTTAAGATTATTCTCAAAGTACCATTGCAAAGATGCTTAGGTAATCTTATCTGATAGGGTATGTTTTTTGCGCTTCTTAACAATCAATATGACGATTTGGAATAGATAAGGAGGTTGTATATAATGAGGATATTGTACTGTAACGTTTTTTTTGGTAAATATCACGCTTTCGAATACATCTAATTGTCTGGAATGTTTAAGTTTTATGAACAAATCTTAAAAATCTATTAGATTAGACTGTGTTCAGCTTCCAAATTTCATAGACGGAATGCGTCAAAATAACCTTGTTTCGGAACGTGAAAAGGTGTCGGAAAGGCTGTCCCTTTCCTAGTACATTGGACCTTTTTCATTTTTCTATATCTCTTTGTACATTAGATGCATGCACTTATAAGACTTTAACAGATGAATCATGAATAATCTCTGAAATTCCCCTTACTTAAAAAAAATCACGATGATGTAACAGATAAGTATCCTTCACTTAAGAAATCTCATGATAAGGATGTCACGAAGTCTCCTTTAAGTCCATCTCTCTGACGGCCCTTTTGCTCAACAGGTCACGGCTTACTTCGTCGTGGACAAGCTCGGTTACCTGAAGGGGATTCCAGGACTCTTCGTGGCCGCGGTCTATAGTGGAGTTCTCAGGTAGATAATGTCTTCAACTTTACTTATGGTAGGAGGTGGTAGGGAAAGAAGGACGGGGATGAAGATGGAGGGGCGAGGGGGATGATAAAGGATGGGGAAAAGGGAATTTTATAGGCAGAGCTTGAGTTAGCCTGTTGGGTATAAATCTGGGTAATGATTGTATTAGAGGTGGGTTTGTGAGGAGAAAGAAGCAGAGGGGTACGTCCGGCGCCATCTGTAGTCATTCATGCGAAGCGTAGTGGGCTTGGGGGCGCATGTCGATGATCGTTCTCGCCAAAATGTTCCCCTGAACATTGACGCCAAACGTCCCCAAGCCTCAGCGGACTCGTAAGTAGCATGGCCGGACTTTTTCATACAGGATCATGGAGTGATCCTCCATGGTGAGCTAACAGAGGATTTGCCACTTTGCGGTATGCTCTGTGTACGACCATGGCTACAGCGCTGTCTCTCAGCTAACTTCATCTGTAAAAACAGATCGATCTCGCATGAGGCCTCTAATCAGGAACTATTCCTGATCATGTCGACAAATGATTCCTGTGGCTCGGTAGCGGGATTGACTGGAAGGCACGGTCCTAGCGCCGTGCGCCACCATTGGATCAACAGGTGTGCGTGTCCTCGTTTGTGCTGGTTTGTACGACAGTTGTAGCTTAGAAAGGAATAGCGTTGCTGACCTGTTTAATTTCCTGTCAGTTAGCTTCGAATATTTCTTTCCATTTTGGTCAAATTTCCTGCAACAGCGACGAGTGGTCCTTTGCAGTATTTGATGATCTCTGGATATGGCGAAGAAGTGACCTTCACCACATTGACAATATCTCTTTAGGAATGGGTATGTGCGTTTGCTGTGGTCGAATCAGCAGTAAGGCGGACACAGAAGAGCGATCTTTGCCTTGAGGCAGGCACTCTAGGAACCGCAGACACACTTCCCTGCGGAAGATAAAGGTCTGCACTGGTCCAAGCTCGCCCAGAAGTTGCAAAGAGATCTACCTTAATTCCCGGGAATGGAGGCACGGGAGTTGTAAGATATAGGGCGCGTGTCTTATCTAAGCATGAAAGATTGTAACGGAAGCGCTGGCGTCTGTAAGATACTAAAGTAACAGAAAGTGTCCCTGAGAATCCCCCCTCCCGCTTTTGTTATTTTTATCATGATCGCATTTCCAACAAAACTAATATTTGTTGATTTTACACACAGCTCAGTTTCGTCCAACCTCAATGCCATGGCTGCCATGGTATGGGAAGATTTACTGCTCGCCTTCAAGACTTTCAAGAACTACACTCCGACGAAAGCCAAAAATGCAAATGTCATCATATGTGAGTCCAACGTCTTACTTTTTCTGTACTCTTACGATACATTATTTTAATCGTAAGTTTTATTGTTGTTGTTTAGGCTTTGTTTTCACTATCAGTCATAAAAATGAAATTCCGTAACCCGACTGGTCCTGATTTTTATGTATATATTATATATAATTACATATATATATATATATATATATATATATAGTATATATATATACATATATATATATATATATATATATATATATATATATATATATATATATATATATATATATTATATATGTATATATATATTTACTTATATACACATCTTTGCTTTTCTTTTTGCCGAGAGATCATGTGAAAACTTGGACATACCTCACTAGCATTTTACGTGTTTTATTTCACTATCATTGAATTCCTCGATTAGTTTCACCATTTTCCGGGAACCTAATTATTTTTTTCTGCCTGGCCCAATCACTACTATTCCCCTCACCATTGCCAGCCACATCACCCTGTCGTTAGTCTCTTCTTGGCAGTCGTTGAGTCGTCCCTCCCTCATCCACTCCTTTCTCCCCCAGTCGTTGAGTCGTCCCTCCCTCATCCACTCCTTTCTCCCCCAGTCGTTGAGTCGTCCCTCCGTCATCCACTCCGCCCTCCCCCAGTCGTTGAGTCGTCCCTCCCTCATCCACTCCGTTCTCCTCCACAGCCATGCTCATCGGCGTGCTCTCCACCGTCCTGGGCGTCCTGGCTGGGAAAATGGGCGGTCTCGTGCAGGTTGCTTACTCAATTGCGGGGGGTTTGGGCGGCCCCATCTCCGGGGTTATACTGACTGGGATCCTGTGCCCCTGGGTCAAGGCTGGGGTGAGCAGACATGTTTTGAACGAGTTTTTTACCCCTTTTTGGGATTAACTATAACTTTTTTTTGACTATTTATCTATTTACTTGTCTATTTTTTCATCTATTGAATTATTAATTAGAGGGCGAGTGAGCACTTTAGTAGGTCATCTTTCAGTTAGAATTCTTCATAACGTTTTACATCTTTTTTATCTTTCTAATTTGTTTTCGAGTGGAATATTCAAATATTCACCTGACTTTTTCCTTTTATTGTTATTTTTCACCTTTTCTGATTGATTTCGTTTCCGTTATTGTGCTTATTTATGTTATTGCCATTCAGATATAGTTAAGTGATAAAAACAACAAAATCTAAACGTGATTCTGGACGAGTTTTCCTTGGCTAGAACGTGCAGTGTTAAGAGTATTAAACCCACTCTTCTAGAGTGCTGTATGCAAACTTATCTAAACCCTTTTCTAGCCGCTGTTCCTCTTTTCTTAATAAACGTTTTTCCTAAAAGTAGCACTAAGCCGGTGGTTCCCAGCCTGGGGCCACGGAGTAAATTCTGGGGGACATAGAGCAATATGAAAATTATGACGTCAAATTAAACAAAATTTTATTTCCACTTACAGTACCTACATATAAATTATCTCTTACATGTCAATAAACTGGAATCTTTCTATAAAAAGTTCTTGTCCTAAAGCTATAGACATTATTACACTATTCATAGCTAGTAATAACTGAATCTGAAAAGATGACAGTCACTGAACGGGTCCATGGAGATTATTTTATATTGGTCGAGAGCCACAGGATATAAAAGGTCGGAACCACCACTCTACGCTAACTGTCCCATTCTAACACCGCCAGAGCGCCATTTCGGGTTTCCTCTGCGGGGTCGCCTTCAACTTGTGGATAGTGATTGGGAATTTCTTGTACGCCCCTCCGACGCCCCTGCTGCCTCTCTCGACCGACGGCTGCCCCGGGGCCAACGCCACCGCCACGCCCCTCACGTCCACTGTGGCCTTCGCGACGACCACGACAGACCCGGGACCTTCTGAGCCGTGAGTCGGTTTCCTGGGATGTTGGGGTCTCTGTTCGTTTTCTTGGTTTGACAGTTTGCTCTTCTTTTCTCTGAAGCTTTTTTTCCCTTTCGGTCGCTGTCTCTGTCTGTAGTAGTTTGTCTCACTCTGTCTCTTTCCTGTTTTCTTTTCCCTTCTTTCTCTCTGTCTGTTTCTCTCTGTATCTCTCTCTCTCTATTTCAGTCTCTCTCTCTCTCTCTCTCTCTCTCTCTCTTCTCTCTCTCTCTCTCCTCTCTCTCTCTCTCTCTCTTCTCTCTCTCTCTCTCTCTCTCTCTCTCTCTCTCTCTCTCTCTCTCTCCTCTCTCTCTCACTCTCACTCTCACTCTCACTCTCTCACTCTCACTCTCACTCTCTCTCTCTCTCTCTCTCTCTCTCTCTCTCTCTCTCTCTCTCTTTTAACAGTGTTCTTTACTGGAAGCCTGATTTTGTATTTGTATTAATAGATTAACCAGGAACCCAACATGGAATATGACCAATTTCAGTACTAATATGCTGTAACACAAGAATAATTTTCAACTTCTCATATGACATGATTAGACCTTTGTGAAATTAGAAAAAAGTGCTGAACTTTAAATTCCTACTATTCATAATACAATCACTCTATGACATTTAACAAACCCAATTGTCTCAAAAAAGAAAGAAAAAAAAATTCTTATATCTTATGCTTTCTCACTTTTTTTATTATTATTTTTTTCATTTCCAACATTTCTTATGCTTTCTCTTTCCCACCAAGTTATACCGATATTAATACCAATCATGTACCGACAGCGAGGAGGTGTTCCCTCTGTACCTTCTCTCCTACTGCCTGTTCGGGTTCATTGGCATTCTGAGCACCATCGTCATGTCGAACTTGGCCACCTGCGTCTTCGGTGAGTCATCGTGGTTTCGAATGTTGATTGTTGCCGTTTTTAATGCTATTGCAGTGTTGTTTTATGATTATCATCGTCATAGTCATCATCATCGTCGTTGTCATTATAATCGTCGCCATCACCATCGTCGTCGTCGCCATCATGATCGTCATTGCCATCATCATTGTCTTCGCCATCATCGTCATTATTATCATCGTCGTCGTCATCATCGTAGCCACCGACGTTATCACCATCATCATCATCGTCGTCATAATCGCCATCATCGTCGTCGTCGTCGTCATCATCGTAGCCACCGACGTTATCACCATCATCATCGTCGTCATAATCATAGTCCTCGTCATCATAATCGCCATCATCGTCGTCGACGTTATCATCGTCGTTGTCGTCATCATCAGCGCCATCGTCGTTGTCGTTATAACCATCATCATCGGCGTCAACATCATTGTCATTATCATCATCATCGTCGTCATCAAAATCGTCATCCTCACCATCGCCATAATCATCGTCATCGTCGTCATCATTGTCATTACCATCATAGTCGTCATCATCGACGTCATCATCGCCACTGTCATCGTCATCATCATCGTCGTCATCATTATTACCGTCATTATGATTGTTTTGATATTGTTATTATTATCATTACCACTGTAATTACTAATACTATTATTATTCATTCTTATCATTATCATTATTATTATCATTACTATTATCATTGTCATTATTATTATCATTATTATTATTATTATATCATCATCATCATCATCATTATTATTATGATTGTGATTATGATTATTTTCATTTTAGTAGTAACATGATCAGTATATGTAAATATATATTTTTTAATCATGATAACCATCATTAAAATCACTTCACTCCTGTTAATGCAATTAACAATAGCGATGATTAGTGCTATCATTTCCCATTATTTTCATTTATATTTTTATTGCCATTATCACTCTCTGTACAGTATTACCATCTTCACCATCAATTTCATTGTTATCATTAATAAAGGTTCCCCTTCGGATTCTTTCAGGAGTGTCCGAAAAGTCAGATGCTTTAGAAAAAACAGTAAACAAAACTAGCCTGAGAATCTACTACTGGATGACCTCAAAATCGGACAGTTCCTCCCTCAACAGTGACACAGAAAACGGGAGCAAGATGGGAGACTTCGGTATTTCCAAGGACAGCGTTAAAACGAGCAAACCGCATACGGGTACTGGCGAAAAGCATGGTGTAGAAAATCCGGTGACGGTCGACGATGCATTATGAAGAGTCAGTTTTTAAAACCCAGAACTCGAGCGATTAGTTTCAACCAGAATCCTTTTCGAATCATGAGACTTTTCGAGGCCAGTATTAGGTTAAGATATATAGCCGACGATTATACCCTTGTTCGATTATTTCGAAGGATAATCAGAATGTGAGATATTGTTCTTTATCTGTGCGTGAAGCTAACAATTGTAAAATTATTTGGGACCGAAGGCCGGGCCAATTACCCTGTGACGTCACTGATAGAGGAACGAACAGTATTCATTGTGACAAATGTAAAAAGAAAATATGGATGGGGTGTAAATATCGTGTGCTCTGCGAATATTAATTCTCATTCTTGTCTTTTTTATGGGCAGATGACTAACTGTGATTTATGTAGTCTATTTATTTATATATCTATATATATGTGCGTATACTATATATGGTTAAATATATATGCACACACACACACACTCACACACACACACACGTATGTATGTGATGAATATATTTTTCATTTGATTCCCCAGTGAATTTATATATGATATATTGAATACACAATGGTATGTTGAATAAACCATATTTATTACTGATGTTAAATCACGTTGTTTTTGTTAATGTTCCTAATTTTAAAAATGAGAATACTACGAACAAACTGTCC